GAACAGGTGCAATTACTACCTCTGTGGAGCTGTAGGTACTTTCAGTCCAATACATCTATCACAATCTCAGAATGGTTGAGGTTGGAAGGGACCTCTAGAGATCATTTAATCCCTGTCCTTGTCTAACCTCTGTCCCCAGCAGTCTGGGCACATCTGTAACAGGCATCAGGTAGCCAGATCACAGCAGAGCCAGCAGGGATACCTCAAGTCCCACTCGGTGCCAGGTCTTGCACCCAGCAGGTCCTGGAAAGAAAGCCCCACGCATTTTCATTTTTGCAGAAAGATTTTTGGAGACCAGCTCCCAAAGGAAGACAAGCCCCACACTACTGTTTTCCCAGCCTTAACTGACTTGCTGTCCAAGGCTACCTCTACCCTCTACTTAGAGACAAGCAGGCACAGAAGGTAGGATAGGAATATCAGGGCTTTGAATGTGCTCTGGCTGCCTGCTGGTCTCCACTGGGAAATGAGATGTTGCTTACAACACAGGAGGCTCTAACTGTCCTGGGCTCATCCCATCCCTGCATCGCTGCTGTTGGCAGAACGGGGACTGGAGCTGGGTCAGTTCTGGCAGGGTATTTATCTGGGTGGGCTCAGATTCTAAAATTTGATCCTGCCTCTTGGCCCAAAACAGCCCAAATTGAACATCAACGTGGTGACCTCTGACTAGACCCAAAAATACATCTTCAGAGACAGCCTGGGAGAACGCTGCAAATTTACATCTCCACACAGTAAAGGAGTGGAAATGAGTCTCCGCAGGCCTTACTCTGACTGGCTAAGTTCCTGATGGGGTGATTTGCTCAACGCTACAGAGACCAGAGTGACTGTTGCAATGTTGCTGGGATCTGTCTGTACCCTGTATAATTCAGTGTGTCCAAAGCTCTAGGCTCCCTAACATATGTCATTTCTTCTTTTAAAACCTAAATAGATGAGAATCTGCACACAACGCCCTTTTGCGGGGGTTGCATTCTTGCCATGCTCCAGGAAGCCGTTCAGTGACGCACCAACATCCTGATAAGGGACATATCTCCATAAACCTGAGGTGCTGCTAGATCCCACAGTGCAATCAGATGATATTTTCTTAAGACACCAGAGGAAACAAGCCTAAGGACTAGCAGTATAACTTGCATTTTCATATACATCCACATGGCTCCCTAGAATAATTCTAATGTAGTATTATTGCTGGAGTCTTGCACTCACGTCCTCTCACAAGCAAACCTGCACCAGTACCTAGTAGACTCAGTCTCTTGAGCTCCTGATAATGAAATCACTGTTCTGCAGGATTTTGTGTATTTGCAGGGAAACTTCTGGCAGTATGTACACAGAAGATTTGCCTGTACTGTCAGTGAACTTGTAAGCCAAATAGCTGGACTCCAAAGGTCAAGGACAAGAAGAAATAATCAATTATATATTATTCTACTATTCCATGACCAAACCAAATTCTGTAAGAAAAGAGATATCTATTCTGGGTCATTTTGGTCTTTTTCCCCATCATTATTGCTATATGTCAGACTATAAAACTAGAAAATATTGTGAGTTATTTCTCCTGGGAAATTAAAATAGGCTGTTGAAGATGATCCTTACATCCCTGCCACCCCATGGGAGAATGAGAACTGCTGGTTAAAAGGATATGCTTCATTACCCATCCTTTAAGGCTAGCTGCTACATGTGTACGAGCCTCGAGCCACCTCAGGAGTGAGCGGTCTGCCTGGGCTGGCATGTTCTCTACAGGACAACAGTTGAGTCAGAGCATGGAAAACAACTGTGGATATTAATCAGGACAGAAATAAAACATACAATGCAGTAAATAAGATATTGCAACACTTCTGGCTTAATGTCAGCCTCAGGCTACAACTGGCAGGTGGCATAAAATAGAGTATGGCTGTATGACGATATAGCACAAAAACCATGCAACTGTTGTACCTTGGCTTTGCTACTGCGTAAAGCAGTGAGATATGGAAGGGGATGGCATGCAGTACAACTGTCAGATCCAGAAGTGATCTCTATGCAAGAGCCTAGCCCTAGATACCTGCAGACCCATCTTCCTTCCCTCAGACTCTAAATACTGAGAGCCTGTAAGTTCTCCACTAGCCTGAGTAAGAAAAAGCTGCTCTTTGGCCTGTTGGCCAAATCCTCTGCTTTGTTTTGCAGAGAGGGAAGGTGAGCCAGAGAAAGGAAATCATTATTCAAAGCATACATAAAGAAAAGACAAAGCTGGCAATGGAAGTACAGAAATGACACCCAAAGCGCATCCTGATAGTTCAGGGTGCTTATCATGAGAAATGCAGCACCAAAGCCAACATCTGCCTGCTTCCATAAATAACTGAAGCCACAATGAGCTATGGGATGGTCCATTGCTCCCCGTGGAGATGGTGTCTTCTGCCAAAAAATGAAGTGCTCTGTAGTAACCTCTTGTTTGGATGGGCATCAATAAGCAAGTGCAATATGCTTATCACTTGGTTCTCCAGCTGAGGTGGAGATTTACAGAAACATAATGTTGTTACTTCTAGCCAAATGAAAAATAGTAGCAGTTTCACAACCTGGAAATCCTGAAGACCACCCCCATCAGCTCAGAGTTAACAGATGACACATAGGAATCACTGCAAGGCAATGACAGGACAGTGATGACTTGTCAAGGACAGTGCAATGGCAGCAAATCCTTGTCTTCCATTTCCGCTGGTGTCCATTTCCAAGGAGTCAGCGCCCAAGCATTTGCAATGTGACTCACAACTGAGCTGTGGTGGGGGGAATGCAGTAAAAAGCAAGGACATTGTCCTGTGGTAGCCACCTGGGCTTCTATCACAGCTGCTTCTGCTGACATAGCATGTCTATTTGCAAAAATAAATTAAACCAAATTTGAGATGCTCTCAGAAAGTCAGAGTTGCATAACAGTCTTTTTCCCACAGGCTTGGAAGGCTGCTCAGAATGTTTATGGTCACATGGTAATTCTGAAATCATTGCCTTTCCTCCTTTTTTGTTACTATTTTCATCAGCAAGTTAACCTTGTACAGACTGAAGTGTTCTGCCGCACCTTCCACAGATAGAAGTACCTGAAAATACTGACAGATCTGCAGGTCTCATCTAGTGGTCCACTTCCACAGCAAAGCTTCTGTTCAAACCTTGCAAAGCTACCCTGCCCAGAGAAAGTTTCCAGGACTACCATCCTCCATCTGCTTCCTAACGTCTGGAAGCAATTCATTCTGAGAATTTTTCTGACTTGGTTAACAGTAACACATCCTTCCTCCAGTCGCTTGTTAGAAGAGTTTATTTCTATACGGTGCTCTCAGAAGTCACGGGTGACAGGCAGTAAGCAGAGAGTAGCCACTACCTTCAGCCAGGTTTGGCCCCCAGCTTCGAGGGCTTCCTCCGCAGATTTACATGGCAATGTAAGAAGGATGTCTGCCAAGAAGGTTACAGGGTCATCACTGGAGGGGAGGTTATGGAAGGTGGGGACAGTTAGTTTTTAGATAAGTATTTTTTCCTTTTTTATCAAATACGTAATCAGCTGATGTAAAGGCAATGATAGGCCACAGGGAGAAAAAGATATGAACAGAAATGTGGATGTGAAGTTGGAAACTTGATAAGGTTGGACAAGACAGAAAGGGAGAGACTCATGTAGGAGTTCACTTACATTCAATCCTGGAACAAACTGTGTATCATTAACATAGCCAGTTAGGAAAGATTTCCACTCAATACTTGAGGCCTGGCTATGTTTTATGTCCATACATGATGATGCAGAGTACCAGGACTCAATAGAGTGGGCAGTCAGGTCTCTGGAAACCAGTCATCTTAATGCATTTCAGGAGCAGGTTAAGCTGTCTGCGTAGACATAGTCTGACTGTGCTGAAGCAGAAGCCCTGGGATACGCTCCAGACACTTCCCCAGTGCAGCACAGGAGGCTGTTAACACTCAGCTGACCAGTTCCCAATCTCTGCAATGTTTCTACTGACCTTACCAAGCTGCTGTCAGCTACAATGATGTGAAACTGCAGTAGTTCTGCGGACAACCGTGGCTCCCTTAACCATGTACAGGCTGTGGGAGTAACCAAGAGGACCTGTCCCCCCCTTCCTTGGAAAGATTTAGTCTCACCTATTTTAAAAGAAAGATGTTGGACTTCATATTAGAGTTTACTCCAAAGATGAGAAGAGATTTCACATGGCTCAAAGACAGCAGGAGTTTTGTTTCAGAGCACGTAAATACACAGAATCAGAGCTTTGGTTAACTGGAGGATGTGGGTTTTGTTTGTGTAAACAGAAAAGCATGATTTTTTTCCATAAGCAAACACAGTAGAACTCAAGACACCTACAGACCTCCCAGGCTTGTGTCTAGGCTCACAGACGACACTGGAAAAGAGATTCAGATGATGTGCAAGTCCAGGTTACGTGAAAATTGGTATTTCCATGATTAAACCTAGGCTGAAGTTGGCCTCTTTCCCACAAAGGACCATTTTGCTTTGGAGTCAATACATGAAATGACGGCGCTTTAATCTCTTTTGTTAATCTTCATCGAGCATATGCAAGGTGTGTCCAAACCAGTACCTCCCTGAACAATGCCAACTTCAAGCAAAATTCATACGAGTGCATGAATGAAAGGAGCTCATACTTAGAAAACAATAGCTAACTTCAAGTGGCATAATGCTGCTATCTTGCTTTTACAGAGATCTTCTAAATCACAAGGGTGAAAAGAGTAATTTCTCTTTTCTCTGAGATCATACATCAGGCCAGAGACACAACTGAACTGGCTGCCAGTGATGTGCTCCAGCCATCACTGTAGCCATGCTGCCTACAAGCAACTAATTCACAGCTCTTGCAATAGCTTAGCTTTAGGCTGGTTCTCACTGCCTCTTGGGAGTCCACAGTTCAGAAAAGCTTTTTGCAACAAGCTCTCCCAACCTCGCGAGGAACCTAGAGTTCACTCAACACATCAAACCAGCTGATGCAGTGATCTGCCAAGCGACCTCATTCAGGGAGGAGGAGGAAAGAAGGTTCTCAGCTATAGCTTACCACTGGCTCAATGCTGAAGATGTCATCAGAGAAAAGCATGGAGTCTCCTTTCACCTTTGCCTGGTGGCTCTGGAAGGTGCGGGAGAGAACGGAAAGGCGTTCTCGGAGAGTGGGGTCCATATTGCACTCCTTGAGAAAGCGATCAGTCTCATCCTCTTCCTGGCTCTGCAGTTTGCAACACAGCCTGAAGCCACAGGGAGAGATAAACCAAGCAGATAATTTGATAAGCAACATATTTCCAGAGGCTGTCATGTAAGTGCAGGGGCAGCAACACGCTCAGAGGGGAAGAGCAGGCAGCAGCAGCACAGCAAGGGGCTTACCCAAAGCCAAGGGGGTCCCAAATTAATTAGGTTATTGGTAGTTGTTCACTGGCACGGCAGGTAATTTTACTTCATGCTCGCAAGCTGAGAAGAGGTTTTTTGAAAGCTAACAGCCCTCAAAAGAGCAGGAAAGTTCCTCCTGACTCAAAGCCACTGCCACAGCTCATGGGAAGTCCAACAACCACCTCATCTGACTTTTCCTACCCACAGAGCTGCACTTGGGAGCCAGATAACAGGAAGATCAAGTTTTACTGACAGGAAACTACCGCAGCACTCATCAGAAAGGGGAGGAGGCAGGATTTCATCTGTGATTTACTGCATCAGTCTTTTCTCTTCCCTTTTGAGCTTACAGTGATAAGCACACAATATCTGCTTCCCATTCCCTATGCTGCCTTCCACCAGAGGATCCCAGAGCACTTCTAAACCAAACAAACAAACTGAGGCATCACCTTACCTTGAAGTTGATAGTATCATAAGCATAAAAACAGAGGCCCTGAGAAAGGGAGGGTCTTTTTCCAGCATCACCCAAAAAAGAAGTCAGGACAAGCACATCCGAGTCCCAACTCCTAGGTCTAGCCTTGAACAACCTGACTTTTTTTCTCTTCTGGGCTTTCTCTGGAGAACTCAATCTCTCCCTTAGTTGGCAATCAGAGCAGAAACCATTTTCTAGCACTTAAGACATTGTGCCTGAAAGACAGGGAGGGCTTCTACAGAGCAGTTGCTTCCTAGCTGGATTATTGCTGTCACCTCTTCATATTCCAGTCCTCTGGCTACGAAGAACCAGTAGGTGACAATTCTAGGGGAACAAGCAGAGGGCTCCATATGTAGCAAACTGAGACAATGTAGTATAAATAGAAGGATAATCATCACCCAGCTAAATTCAAATGCAATTAGAAAGGAAGTACAGTCAAGGCCACTACTAGCTGCACACAGACAGAGCCTCAGGCAACTGCTGCCACCAGTGCCAAAAATACTTTGGTGAGCTCTCTGTACAGTTCAATAGGAAACGTCTCTCTGTGGCTGACCTACAATGCTACGGATAGGGAGCGGTTCCAGGCACTAAGATCAGCAGCCATGAACTGAACCTCCATCAATGGGCAATAATTCCACCATTACACCCCAGAACATCCTGCAGGATGGAGACAGAGCAGATCCCAGCTAGTCCTTCTAATGGTCCAGGGTATACTGGTTGATAACCCAGTGCTGGGTCTTGCACCATCTTTGCTGCTTCCTCTACCTGAGGCCTAAAGAGCTTCTCTACTAACAGCTCATTCCTTGATTGTAGCCAAACTGTGCAAAATTCATGCTTACTAGGCATGGGCTCAGAGCATGCTGACACTGCCCAGAAATCCCCGTGACAACCCTGAAGTTGGTAGATCAGTGCCGGGGTTTACAGCTCAACCTGTGGAGTGCCATCTGAGTTCAAGACTGTTCTTAGCAGAGACAAGTTGTTGAACATCTCCGAGCATCCAACCCTGTGTGCCTAATCCAACTCCTCATGCATTTACAGATGCTTCTTTATCCCATCTGTTGGCCCATGGATCCTCCACAAGAACCTCTCTGAAGAAGCCTACCCTTTGAGACTGGGTGAGCACCTGGCAAGGCAAAGAAGCAGGAACAGGGGTACAGGAATGAAGATGCAGCTAGATTTCTGGCTTCTATAGTTTTGAATCCAACTGAGTCAGGCTGGACGGCTCCAATAAGAGCTCAAACTGGCCTTGATGCCATCACTGCTATACTCTTAATTTGAAGAAGCTGCTGTCTCTTAGGGACTCAAGCACATGTCTCATGAATGGATGTAACTAGTACCTGACAGAGGCTCAAAGCTTTAAGTACCTTGCAGGGCTGGGATTTCTCCACAGGTCACAGCACTTAATTTTGTAAGGCCCCTATATTCACCTTCCGGAACGGACAACCTCAGCAAGCAGGGGCATATGTTACTGTGTGTGTAAGAAGGGCAAAGGCTGAGTACTGGCCTTTGAGCTATGACCATGCCTAAGACTTGCCACAAGGAAAAGGAACATCCTGGCCAGATGGCCAGAGTCCAGAACAGAAATTAGTACAAGA